TGTATAATACAAGTTGAGAAAGAAATATGTTAAGTGTTGATTGATTGTGTGAATCTTCTCATGGATGCTTAAGACTGCTACTGATCAGTCATCTTGTTGGCATATACACATACTATACGGATTGTCTAGATATTGTCTTAAGTCATAAGAATTATAAGCAGAGATGGATGATGATGACAGGTAATGGAATCCAGTTTGATGCGCGTTTTATTCTATTTGATATTTGTCAATTGGATGTATCTCCATTATAGAGTTGATGTTCGTTCCGGGACTCGAACTTAGTACCTTTCGCTTCAAATGACATAGAGTGATTCATTTAGCTACTGAGTCTTAACTTGAAAAAAAAAATGGTAATGAAAAGTTTTAAAAAGTCTTAAAAGCTAATTATGATAATTAATGATGACAATGTAAAATTTGAGCTCAGAGAACAAAAAACAAGCCATAGAAACACATCTACCAAAGCGATAAATATTGATTATTTGAAACCTTATAATTATTATATCGTGATTATGGATCACATCATTGCATCGTTGTTTCTTTTGAGTTTTCGGATGATGATGATGATGATGCCTTAGATGATGACGATGCTCTAGATGATGATGATGATGATGATTTAAATTAACGTTTTACTTTTATTCATTATGATTTCTAACTTCTCCATATACATTAAGCATGCAGACTTAAAATATTTTTATCAAATTTGTCATTTCAGTTTTAGGCCTACATGTTAGATAGTTTCATATGAATGAAGAGTTTTAGTATGCATTTTATTCATATCATTAAAAATACATAAACAAATATTCATGCATAGTGTTCTTTTACATTGGAATTGCTGTTTTCAGTCTGAATATTACATACACTATCGAATATGAATATGCATTAAAACATTGTATTCTTGTTGTTTGTTTAAATTCTCTATGATTCTTTTGTACTTGATTATCCGCTGATTTCCAATTTCAAATACAACATGTTCGTTTTTGTGTTTATCTAATTCTGTCTAGTTTAAAGTGTATTGTTTCGGGAATTCCTAGTGAGTACAATATTTCGAATACTACTGATCACTATACTCTCTCTCTTTTACACACACACACACACACACACTTACATACTCAAAGCTGACTTATGATTGTGTTTTTATCATGAATCGTATTCTGTTCATGTTTCTTATGCCAAAATAAACATTTCGTGTGCAAAGGTCGTTTCACTAGGATAGAGTTGGATAGCGAGTGCTGATGGGCGGCTTATACTCCTTCACGAGGAGTATTAAGCGTAAGTAAAGTAAGTAAAGATAGTTTAAGTCGTCGCTTCAATTGAATACATATACATATTTTAGTATTAAGAAACTATCACCTTAAAACTCAGTAGATCAACAAACACGAAGCTAACTTACAAAGAGCACAATGAAAGACAGAAACAATTAACATGGGTCAATAGTTTTAACATATAAAGTGTTAATCAAAAGATCATAGTACGATTATTTGAAATTTACTGTAAATGATTTAGTTATATGTCCAATATCTAGGTGTTGTACTATTAGTTACTTTTTCCTTCCAACAAACTTCATTATTTAATATATACTGTATTCTTATGTGTTCTATCATTTACGAATATTTTATGATTGGTTCATACTGATCCGACGGTGACCATATCACGTTGAAAGCACCGGTTCTTGTCCATACTGATCTGGGGGGTAAAGATCAACCGATATCTTATTGTGTTACTCTGGAGATAGTAGAAGTTTGTTTGATGAACTTATGTGAAACTTTGATAAGTTATCAGAAGTAGTGTATCGTATAGTTAAAAGTGAAATGTATAGATGAAGAAAGAATTTTCCTTTAGGAACTTCACTAGATTATCTCAAGGAAGGTTTATCAATTGTGTTGAGAAACAGAGAGAATAGATGTAGAATATAGGTTAATCAGTGCACAGGGGCCGACATTAAACTTCTCTGTGGTATAAACGTGAATAGATACATCGTCAATACACGAATTCCAAGCAAAAGTGATTTGAATACTTGATATTCATTCATTTTTCAAAGTCACTGGGTTATGATCTATGGTTAATCTCATCTATACCTTTGTGTATATTATAAAGTGTGTTCACTTCTGTCTATGCATGTAACGTATACTGTAGACCGGAAATATCTATGCCTATGCGTGTACTATGTAATGTATATGCATCATATTAGGTCAAATTTTCATTTTATGAACTTTGTCGTAAAATCCTCAACTTATATTAATATAACTCACAGATTCAAGCACACACTGTATATGTAACGGCTAATGATACTTTCCGATTGTCCAAACCTTTACAAATAATGCTGTATTCAAACTTGAAATCCTTTGAATGAACAGTGAATACTATAGTCATCATCATTTCACTGAACTACCATTGGGTATAAATACGCGAATAAATGTTGAATACGCATATTTCGTATGCTCTTTGATCCGAACAGACAATTAGATAAATGAGCTAGAGAAAACGAAGCGTAGCTGAAAAGGTGAGTGAGCTAACTTGATTCCATAAAGTGTGATTCAATACTTATAGTCAGACTTAAATAAGCTACAGATGGATAGATTTATTTATTTATTTCAACACATAGATATTGGTACAAGGAGGCATCAAGTACATATGCGCCATACAAATCTCATTTCATATGTGTGTGGGCTGTGATACTGCCGGGATGCCCAAACTGAAGCACGTGGTTTTCTTTAGGGGCCACACTCGTAGCCTTTGACCAAAAGGTCTGATCCACAAGGAAGTAGATCAATATAAGGAGATGAAGTCACACGGTAGCCAGTGACCAACGATTGGTTATACGCCATTTATGTTGGTTTAACATGGCACCAGATACTACAGAATATAATTGTATGTAATAGTATATTCTGATATAAATTTAGCAGAAAACAGTCATTTCCCCACCCCCCTATAGTTTGTGATATGATTAACACAATAGAAATATTGAACACTTCTACTAAAGTATCCGTCGCTTATCAGTTTGAATCAAGTCGTCATTGTTGAACATATTACTTACTTACGAATAGATTTTGTAACGTGTATTGTCCAATTTCGATATTGATATGCAATCGTTCTCTATATGAACAAAACCGCTTAGAGACTGAGAAAAAGAAAGGAAGATTACTCAGTAAACAGAATCAGGAATATATATATATAAGAAGGGGGCTTAATGGATATTATAGTAGTTTTAATAGTTGAGATCATGAGTCAATTGAAGCTAGACTACCAAGAAGAACCTGGAATCACTTGAACGACCGTTTCGTCCTACTGTGGGACTCCTCGATAGTGTGCATCCACGATCCCACCTTGAGAGATTCGAACTCAGGACCTATCGATCCTATCAGTGATATCTCATACCTTAGAAATAGAAGTCATTTCTTGGCCGATCATAAACAGTTATCATTCGACCGATTTCTAATTGGAGCAATGTTTCGTCTCATTGTACTTTTCTGTTACGCTATTTATAGTATATGATAATCAGATAGATATTTTGATCCAACAGAAACAGTTTAAACTCTAATAAGGTACATTCTACAGGTGTACTCGTATATTATATTCACTTGTTAAGTATAATCAGAATTATATTGAGAACGGTGTATCTTTAAAGAAGATCGGAGCATTAGTTCAGGAGATATATATCTAAATAGAAACTAGTCAAATATTTAGATATTTATATCCAAAGTGAAAGAATTCACAAACACTTATGAGTGGGAACAAGCTATAGGTAAAAATACTTTACCGGTTGTGTTCTTCTTGTTTCTTAATACAACAAGTCATGGTCAGAGACGACAGAGTGTAATATGGTTGAGAAAAAGTTATTTCCTTAGCATTCACCTTCTAAAATAACAGAGTTGACAGAGGCATTATTTTTATGATGAGAATTGAACCATCTATACATTATTGATCGTTTTAAATATCAAAAAAAAAAATGGATAAGTCCCATCCAAAGTTACTTCACACTAAGTCTAACACTTCAAATGCATGCACAGAGACACACACATGAAATCTACTTTTAGATAACAGTTCTCAGATTTTGGTGCAAAATTCATTTATTCATTCGACTAAATACAGCTTTGGCATTTCAATTGATCTCAGTTCATAATGAAAACCATATTTATAAACTGAAAAATCATAATTCTAATTCCTTACCCAGGTTCATAACCCTTATTTCATCCTGGTTATTAAGTGGACACCCTCAAAGTCACTTTAACGTCGCTCAAAGGTCGTCCATCTAGGACATATTAAATAATTGATTCAACTCATCTTTCTTTCTTGTTCTAAAATATCATCTAACGATATCGTTAAAAACAAAATGCTACAAAGTCTAAATCATTAAATATCAGAAATGCTTGAGTCCAACCTTGAAGAGTTCACATTTTAGACAGATGATAACTATCTAAACCAAAGTCGAAAGATCAATCAATTAGTTAAGTTTACAAATGTCATTCATATGGAATTCTTTCATATTAATCATTATAATTGATCTACATATATATTATTACCTAAATTAACCAACAAGTATGAGATTATTTTTTTTTATTATCAGATGGGTTTTGTGGATAGTATAGCGATTTCAATGGTTGAGATAATGAGTCAGTTGAAGCTAGACCACCATGGAGAACCTGGAAGCACTGGATGGCCGTTTCGTCCTATTGTGGGACTCCTAAGAAGTACTCATCCACGATCCCACCTCTCGAGATTCGAACTCAGAATCTATCAGTGTCGCATAAGAGCGCTTAACCACTAGACTACTGAGCTAGCTGGTATCCAACTATGCTAATATCTAATTTCAACCAATCCACGAAATTGATCGACACATTCACCATTGTCATCAGTGAGTTACTATCCGACAACAGATCTGGTTGAACTCCACTGATCACTGCTTTTCACTAAAACTCCAGGATATACCTCTTGAAGCCAATCACTAGTGAGCACACGTTTTTTTAATCTAAAAGGTTATGACATTGTAATGAATAAGTAAGTAGTTCATACAATTGTTTTATTAAATAAAACATAAAGTACAATATGAATGAATGGTTCTCTCTTTCTCTCTCTCTATGTCTGTCAAAAGAATATGTTCAAATAAAGGTATATATAATATATATATATGGAAAATATATAAGTCTATAAAAAGGATAGAAAAGATTACATTATATCATGGATTTAAAACTCGTCTTATCAACTAAGATTACATAATAATCATAGAGTAAAAAAAAGAAACTAATGGATAGATTAGATAATAGTCCAATGGATAGGTATGAAAACAGAAAACACACACACACACAACCATACAACTATGATCTAATTCATAAATTATTTTTCTAGCTTACCCCATGATTGTTATGTAACCTCATTTGATAAAAATGATATTTCACCATTTAATTCTAATACAAATGCCATATATAAATATAAGTCTAATGATTAATATAAAGTAATAATAATAATCATTATTGTTTGTTTGTTTGTTTTGATAAAAAGAAAGGTTTACAAAATAACCAAATCAACGACTACTTATAAAACAGTTCTAAGTAGTATAAACATTTTTACATAATTAATCTGATAACCAAACAAAGGGGAGGGGGGGAGTCGGTGGATATAAGTAGAAAAAAGTTTTTTTCAAATAAAAATTGGAAAAATATGATTATTCATCCATAAGATATGATGAAATAGATGAGATGAGTAAAAATAAGGGGTAAATAATATTTGAGCCATTTTTTGTTTGTTTGTTCTGGAATTTATAAAAAAAAGAAAGTAGTTACTATGGTTATCTTCTTACATATGATTATTGTTCATGAGATATACAGCCTGGAGATTATTTTTAGAGAGAGGGAGAGAAAGAAAAAGTAAGTTATTTAATGAGTAAATAGAGATTAACAAATAAAGTAGCAATATAATTATGTCATCTATATGTGCAGACGATAATTTACACACATTAGTTATGGACTACTAACTAAGGAATACAGAATTTGACTGATCAAACTTCCATCTATTACTTTAAGTGATTCAATATTACAAGACTTCTGTGTTTTATATTGTATTATCAAAAGTAAATAGGCAAGAAATTATGGAATAATACTTCATACTTATCGGTATATCTTAACAAGGTACTGTGGTGAATTCAAAGAATTACCAAACTTCATTTACATTAGTGTTCATTTTGTAGCCCAAGCAAGAGAATTCGATCGGCATCAAGTAGTAGACAATGACAAGAATGATAGCTACTCAGTGATGAATCAGTGTGAAAACAGGTCAGATAGAAGGTCAGTTGAGAACCAGACAGATCAGCGGCATTGTCTCTGACATCACTCTGAGCAATGCCTATTTTGAATAACAAGAATAGTATCAGTCTTCCTTAAGTTCGGAGATTTATTGTGATGGCAAACTTTATCTACCATAAAACCTAGGTCCAGGCTTCTCTGAAAGGTACTTTTATTCAATTAACACTAACAGACAATAATTATATTGAATCTAGTTTTTATCACTCAGAGAAATATTTTTGTCGACAATAAGAGTGAAGATTAAAACTATTGAAGAATCTTGTGAAGAATAACAAAATGCACATATCGTTACATTAGACAAGAGGAGAACAATCCACCAATCTTACTTGATACATACAATTACACTTAGATTATTATAACATCTAAACTAAGTTATGCGAGTGAAGAAATTGACGATCTACTAATGACATAAATTAACCAACTGCACAACTATCGATAACATTCTCACTTCGCGCACGGTTGTCATCAAAATAATTATTCATAGGTGATATATTTGGATAAGTTTTTCATTTATAATCGCGCTTGTTAATCGACTAATTCAGTCAATAACAACGTGGAACTTCGTACGCACGTACATCAGTTCGAGTTGCCACACCACATAGAACAGAGATGCAGTTGTTGGTTCAAATCCCGTAGTCGTAGAGGTAGCAAAGTATAAGCAGTAATCGGAAAAATTAGGATTTGAAGATATTATTCAACAAGTATAGTTCAGTGAAATAAATTTGCAAAGAGAAAAAAGGAACAACAACAATTCAGAAGATTAGAATTTAGGAGAACACAAAGAGTGGATGCACCTGTGCCATTACAAATGATTTTCAGCCATGTCATTCAAGGTCTATAACCATCGGTTGCTATCGTCTCGCGGTCCTCAACCAGGTAGTCTACACCTACCAACATGGCTCAGTCCACTTGTCGGTGATTTCATGGATTTGTGTCATTTTTTGGTCTGGCCGCCCCTAGCTTTCTTCTGACCTACTCCTATACCATTGAGCATCGCACGTCGAGGCAGTCGGTGATTGAGCATACGTAACACGTATCCCAGCCATCTCAACTAATGAAGTTTCACTAATCGACTAATTAGGTGCGAATCAAGTGAATGATAACGACTCATTTAACATAATTACAAGCTAATTGATATATTTATTAAATTAATCCTATTTTAATGAAGCAGATCAGGTCAATAGCAGTACGAACAATTAGATCCAATGAAATTACATTGTGAAACATTACGATAAAACAGACTTATATATTCACTGAATAGAATCCATGAAATAAACTTAATCCATAAAGCCTATATTACAATGATTAAAGTAAACAGATTTCTTTTTATTTCACTTCGTATTATTTTACTTGTATCTTCCAATTGTTATTTAAGACTGTAATTCATCAGTCTCTTGTTGGCATATGTACATCCTATGCGGATTGCCTCAATATAACCTTAAGTCATAAGCTTTATAAGTAAAGATGAATAGTGGCCAAGAGTGGAATCCACGACCCATGTTTCATTCTATTTATGACTAAAAGTACAATCAGCTGATGAGTCCCAAATAGGACGAAACGCGAGTCAAATTGAATATCACTCTTATCCAATATCCATCTTTGCTTAAGAGATTTCTAATTTTTATTTATATTTAAGATAGTGAAGAATTTAATGAAATTCCACTATGTAAAATTAGTAATTTGATCATGAAACCTTTTATTAACATTCTAGACAAAATAATCAAGACGTCAATTATGTAAATGATATTAATAATGAATATTTCAATTAGATACATTGATCATTTATAAAGTGAATTGTATTTGATTACTAAATATAAAATGATTTGTATGAAATCATTATATAACTATATTAATGACCTGTAAACATTAAGCAATATATGAAAGAAAAAAACTATCTAATTATAGCTCACCTATGACGTAAACATTGATACACGGAGGCATCGAATAGATATACGCTACATAAATCATTCAATTTATGTGAGGATTAGGATACTATCCAGGTGGTTTTCTTAAGGGGACCACACCCTGAACCTTCGACCTAAAGGTCTAATCCACAAGCAAATGGAGCAAAGTAAACAGATGTGGTTCTATGATAGCTGGTGACCATCAATAAGTTCATACATCATTTATTTCCTTAGGATTCTGGAGTTCATGTACACCATTTGGTTTGAAATAAGAGTTTTCCAACTACCACCCCCCCCCTAGGTGAATCCTCCATAACCATCTATCAGTGTTTATATGATCAACATATCCATAAACTTAGATTCAGCTCACAAGACTGTATGATTATTATACATATATATGTCAAATCAAATTGATTTTCTGACAGAAAAGTAATGAAACTTTGTTTTAAAGGAACTAATCTAAAATAATAAAGTACTATAGTATATCTAGAAATTGGACAATTAAATATACCATATGACAAAACAATCGAATAAATTACAAAGTATAATCAATTTACAACTTGAAAAAAGAGAGTTTCATTAAATATAAACAAAACCTTTTTACACTGAAACAATTTCTATGTCTTAAACCAATTAAAATTAACAATGTAATCAATATAAAAATTCCACCTGGAGTCCCTCCGGAGGCTATTGCCGGTCCAAAGCCCGGATAAAGGAGGAGGCTTGGGCATGGAGGGGTTAGCGACCCTATCCCATAGAAAACTAAATCGTTAAAAAAGCGCTAACCAGAAAAAATCATTCAATTATATTATAATCAGTATAAAAGAGAATATGATATAAAACATAAACATCTTATATACATCGATTAAGTTGACAATTAAATTGTTGAATTCAACAAGAATGTTGTCATCACATATTTATTAATTTTAATAGTTGAATTTATGAGTCAATTAAAGCTAGATCATCATAGAAAACGTGGAAGTACTAGATGGCTATTTCGTTCAAGTACGAGAATTCTCAGCAGTACGCATCCACGATCTCACCCGCAGCATTCGAATCCAGAACCTATCGGATTCACCGTCGACTGCCGGCTCAGTGATCTAGTGGTTAAGCATTCACGTATGAAACTGATAGGTTCTAGGTACGAATGCCGCAGGCGGGATCGTGGATGCACACTTCTGAGGAGTCCCACACTAAAAAAAAACCGCCGTTTAGTGATTCCAGGTTTTCCATGGTAGTTCAGCTTTAATTGACTTATGAATTCAACTATTAAAATTGCTATAATATCCATAAAATTCCCTTTCTGAAAACATATTTATTATCTGCTTATATCTGTATATTTTTGTTAACACTATGAATGTCTTTCAGTGGTTATATGTACAACTAATATCTTGCTCAGTTACGTGAAAATTGACCAGTATTATATTAAATACATAGAACATAGTACAAATATGCATAACTTCAAGTAGGAACACTAATTCACATCATCACACAGTTGAATGGAAATAATAACAAAGTCTATTTTTAAATAATTGGCATAAATGATAATAAAAGCCAAATATAGAAGTTGAAAGGATTATACAAATGCCTGGAATAGAGGGCGTGAAGTGACGTATAAAATTATAAAAAAAAACTACAAGATAAAGAATAAGAAAATCCGTACTAATCTAACCAATTTTCAGATACGTGACGTTGTATCAACAACCACTGATGCTACACAGGCGCTGAAGAACAAGTAGCATTACTCAAATCAACACTCAATGAATAGATCCAATGATATTGTTTTTCTTCAACCAACATTTAAACATCTTCCAATTGAATCATATCCTTAACTAGCTTAAAACCAATGTGCTCCGAAATGCTCTGGTACGGCCGAGAATGTGGAGAGTCAACTCTCCCTCTCCAAATGCTCTCACATGATCACGCGTATACAGCCATTATTCACTGCCTTATCGTAGCATTACTGTTATTTACGAAATTGAGAGGAGTAAAATAGAATGTCCGGCGCTTTAACAGGGTTAGTGGAAGAGTTAGAAAAACCCGATTCCAAATCAATGGTGTACATGAACTCCCCCGACCGTTGTTGCTACCTTGACGTGGTGGTCGGGCTTGCCTGTCGTGATGAAGCAACCGAGATATACTGGCTGGAACAACCGTTCCTCAACGTCCTATCATGCCAGACAGGTCGGTTGAAGAGCGGTAAGACTAAAAGCAACAAACCCAAGGTCCAGAGGCGAAGTCATACTGCTGATTGTACAGAGATGTGACAGCAGTAAAGTGTTTCCTTCAGACAACCAACATGACAGCAATGCTGCCTTCCCACAAGGAGGGGTGGGGTTAGAAAAGGTCGACCCTAAAAATGAACACCTCGCCCTAATCCATGGATATCCATCTCCGGCGGTAAGGTCTCAACAAGTACGGAGCTAACATAAAAATTACTCATAAAAAGGTTGTGTGTGACTGACCTCAAGCAGTTGTCCCTTGGGCACTGCGGTCACGCTCTCAGGTCACTAAGACCACCTCTAATCAAATTTCTTTTTTGAGGTATCTCCAGAAGAACCCTTCCACGGTGTGGGCAACCGGGAAGTGATAACCGCCCTCATATACCTCTAACAGCACTCAA